ATGCTTTACTTGGGGGGAGAAACAACTGTAAACATTTTTTAATATTTACGACCAAATACACACATATAATCTTGCCCGCAATCATGCGCGGAAAACAACATCCACATCATCACACACAAAAACACACACAGACACAAAAACACACACACACCACACACAAACACATTAGGTATTTGCATACAATTGTTTGTTTGTGTGCGTGTTTGTGTGTCTGTCTGTGTATGTGTCTGTCTGTGTATGTGTATATGAGTGGTGTGTGTGTGTGTGTGTGTGTACATACATAAAACACTTTCTTGCAAGCATAATATTTCATATTTTCCAGTACAGAGAAGGACATGGGAATACATGGGAGATGATCAAATCAATTTCACGCAGGCTTAAATGTTCAAATTAACCCACGGACAATTTCTTATTTACTGACTTTGCTTGTTTTTGCTCAAAGCTGATCTTGCTGCTGCTGCTGCTGCTGCTGTTGCTGCTGTTATTGTCGTTTGTTGGTGTTGTTATTTCAAATGTTGTTGTAGTAAGTTTTCGTTATTTGTCATTGTGTTATTTAGCTGTTGTTGCAGAATGTTGATGACGCAGTTGTTGTTGTTGATATGAATTGTGTTGGTATAAATAATGTGGCATGTTGTTTTATTGTTGTAATTTGAATAATAGCGTCCAAACATGCAACAATTTTCATTGCAATCTTTCAATTTTGTTATTCTTCTGTAGTCCATTTTTGTTTTTTGCTCTGAGAACCAAGCGCACATCTGTTTTACAAATCGTGTCTTATTAGCTTAGTAGCGAATTAAACTGTTGCGTCAGACACTTCACCCACACGAAGAAAATATAAGTAGCAAGCCCGTGCACCTAATGGTAGTCTCAGTATTGCAGAGACCACATTCGAACCGTCTCAAATCGCGATGGCGTCGCAACTCGCAACACCCAGTGCATCTACCGTCTCAAGTAACTTGCCGACCGATCATTTACCGTCATTTGAAAAAAAAATCTATATTTGCTTTCGTTTTTACAAAATATTTTTATTTAACATCAGCGAAGGCGCAACGTGTGAAAACTTATTTAAGCAAGACTATCACAGAATATAACCTAAAATCGCTACCTTTTCAACCAGCTCAAAAACAACATCACCCCTTTGTCTCGTCAATGTTTTATATTTATAGCCCGGAAGTAGCTAAGTTATTATGATTTTTTTTTGGTAGATGTTAACAAATGTTTTTCATTTGTTGCTATGGCTACTCTATTGTGCCTTTATTGTTCATCTTTTGCCTGTTATTTTAGATTGTTTGACCTGTTAAAAAGAGTCATTTGTTGGTTTGTGTTTGACTGTGTTTGCCACGTACGGATCGTTAAAGTTTCATTACTTCCCAACTGGTTTTGATGTAGTTGTTCAGGTCTTGCTACGTTTGATATTTCGTAGTTGCTTCTGCTGCTGCTACTACTGCCACTGCTGTCGGTGGCTCGTTAATGTCTTTTGCTGTGTTGCGGAGTTTAATGTCTTCTAGTTGTTGCATTTCATTTCTTACTGGTTTATTTTTTTTTTAATTATTTTTTATTGCAGAAAATTTTAATGTTTTTTTTTTATTAATTTTTTTTGGTGCAAAAATTTTGGATATTAAATTTTCAACTTTTCAAGTGCATTAAAAAATTTCATTTCATTTCATTTTTAATTTACTCAGTTGGAGATTGCCGAGTTTATTGCAAGATTTTTCCAAGTAATACTCCATCTTGTTCATTCAACTGATATTAACCACTAGCACAACAACAACAACATTCAACAGCAGCCAACGCAACAACAACAGCTACAACAACAGCAAATACATCACATTCACATAACATTAAGACGCATAAATATAAATGGATAAACATTATTTAATTTAAAAAAATTTAAATAAATAATGAAATATATACTAACATTTTTAAATCCTTAATAAATAAATAAATACATACAACCATTTTGCAATAATCAAGTAGTTTACTTATATTTAAAAATACTTATTTATGTGGCGTGCTATCGTGTTTGCATGCGAGTATATGTATTTATGATCTTCTCTAATTGAAACTCCAGCTGTTTGCCATCCCTGTTCACGTTCACCGTTAAGTTTGTATGTATGCTTGTATGTATCTTTGTATCCTTGATTATCGTATCATATGTATCATTGTATGTACGCATCATTATATAACAGTATATATATAACAGTATCATTATATGTGTGTATGTAAGTATACGTGTGTGTGTGTGTGTGTGTGTGTGTATGTTTACGAGTGTGTGTGTGAGTGTGTGTGTCTGTGTGTGTGGCAAGTTGTGTTTAACTTTGTTTATTTATTTGTTCATTTTCCAGCTAACACAGCATGCAAACATACACGGAGAAGCAATCCATCAGGGAACTAATGAACGGAAGAGCGAGAGAATGAATGGCATGGATGAATGAATGAATAAAACACAGGCGAATCTTAATAAATCATGTTGGGAATGACAAATCCTGGCAAAGCAAATTGACGTAAATAATGATATGTGTGCTCTATATGAGCTTTCCATTTAATACATACATACATACACACATACATACACACATACATACATACCAACAAACAAAAATACACACATACATACATATAAACATATACCCAAATACCACTATAGATGTATCTATTTATTCGTAACTAGTTCCCCACGTGTAAACTTTCATGCCCTTCAGTCGACCAGCATTCCAAACAGACACATTTACATTTCGTCTCCCTTCTGATGTTTATCGCGCTGAAACGCAAGAATTCGTCGAACTTGCAAACAAATAGAATATTAAATGGAAAGATGTCGCCGGACCGATAACCCAAGACAAGCCAGTCCTTATATTCTTACTATAAATATTAACTGTTTCATATTTATACCACTATATATCATATTTATACCACTATATATCATATTTATACCACTGTATGTTTATGTAGATATTCCGTCTTTGTATATATATATATATATATAAATATAATATATATATATATATAAATATACAAAGAGAGTGAGAGTGAGAGAGAGACAATGACAAGGCTTAGACAATGCAATAGACATAATATGCAACCACCAATATTTCTTCATATATATATGTACTATTAAATATATATAAAAAGAGAGACAGGGAGAGAGAAAGAAAAAAAAGAGAGAAACAGAGAGAAAGAGAGAGAGAGAAAGAAAGAGAGAGAGAGACATAGACAAAAACATAATATGCACAGGCACACACTCATTTAGCGTTTTTTTTATCAATTTTGTTATATCATCACAATCTGATTTAGTAAACTGTCGCATAGTCACCGACGCATTTTTGTGCTTGTGCTAACAATATCCGTGTAACTATTGCGGTTTTAAATTTGCATTCTACTAATGTCAGTGCGTCTAAATGTTAGCCAAGAAAATTTATTTCTGACCTCTGGTCCTTTAACGTTTGTTCATTTGTTTAAATGAATTATTGAGAATTTAATTGAAATTGATGTGCTTCGCTTCTCATACTGCAAAACATTTCCATGGTCATCTATTTTATTCCAACAAATACATGGATCGAATTTTTTCAACGAAGGAAATAATTTTTCTCCCAATTTACAGCAAAGTCGAATTAGTTTTTTTTATGTTCTCTTCAAAGTATTTCCTTTTAATTTCCTGTAGAAGCTTCCAGAAATTATCAAACAAGACCGCAGATGTCAATTAACTTTCAAAAAAAGAGGAATTTTTGGACAAAAAAGATTTTCAATTTTTTAAAATATCAATTTAATTAAAAATCAGCTATTTATTCAAAACAATATAATTAAATTATATTATAAAATAATATAAAAACCGATAATATAATGAAATTATTTTAATTAATTTCAAATAAAAACTTCCAGATAGCCTGACGATGAATGTCTCACTGACCATGGACGAACAGGCAGTGGCCACGACGACCTTCACCTTGTTCGATTGCCGGGTTCACGTGAGGTCAGATTTTGAAAATTTTGCATTTTTGAGATTGAAGATTGTTTATGACTATTAGTTATTTTTTCATTATTTTAATTTTTATTGCATCTTAAACTTGGATCTTCACCTCTAGTTGTATAACGTATAAATTAACCACTTTTGTAAAAAATCTGCTTTTGAATGAATATAATCTTTTTCATGCCAGATCATGATGATAATTAAAACTACAAAGATAACAATTTACTTTTTCATAACATTACAAATAAAAACACAAATCTTGACAGACTCATTTCACGTATAACTGAATTCCCAAAAAAAAAATTGACAAAAATAGTTCTAATTGGCACTCGAACACTTCGCGTGGTTTCTGAAGCCAAATGGCGTCGTTAAAACTATTTTTTCTTCAACTTTATGTTAATACGGCTCATTAAATTAAATTTAATACTTTTTTCAAATTAACTAGCAGCACAACTTAATTCAATTTAAAAATCGTTAAAATAATCTAAATAGCAAACTTTGTCGTAATTAATTTACATTCGCCGTTAAAAATTTAATTAGCTTTTAGGTAAAATGTTCGCAAAACTGCCAGAGACGTGTTCATTTTTTAAATTTTAGTACCTAGGTACTATAGCGAAGAACTATGCTTGAAATAATAATGGTCATCTTATGTAACTAATCACTGTCTACGTCCAGCTGCAATTAACTGTCTCAGAAAATAAAATGATGAATGTGTCACAAAATTGCCTCACAACAACCTCGGCGGAAAATTATTATAAATAATGGCATTTTAATGTTATAAAGAGCAGATAGGCAGTGGCTTGTTTGGAATGATGCCATTATAACTAAAAATTCTCCACATCTAGTTAGAGGATGTATCTTAACCCTGAGATCGTTGTCATCAGAACCCAGAGCAGCTCATTGTTATTTATTCTCCGTTTCATCTTTTTATGTGATATTTCAATTTTTCTTCAAGGCATGAAACTCCGTATGATGTTTTATGTTTGATGTCTGCATGAGTTCCAAATTGATATCCCAAGAAGGGAAGTGATATTTATGATGTTGTAGCCTTGATGAGCTCGTATATTTTGTTCATCTGATATTTTGTTTTATGGCTGCAAATCGTTTCATCGTCGTCGAGTGCAGCCACGCGTCGCTCGCCACAAAATTTTGCACTTTTTGAATTATGCACGTACAATGCGTAATGTCGTGATTGATGTCTTCTGTTTTGTGATGCCATTTTTTTCAACTGTTGCCAGCCCAGTGGTTGTGTGGAGATGTCGTTGCTACTGCTGGCTGTTTCGTAAAATTTTGTCCCGTAAGTTTGTTTTTATAACGTTTGTAAAAAATTTTTAACCATTCACAATGGTTCATTCACATTCACATTTACATAATTTTTCCATAACATGGACTGCAGTAATGCAGCATTAACAAATCTTTTTTAATTTTATTGTAACCCGACCCGACATCATCGCATCGATTCGTGAGAGGTGTTCAGATTGCTCGTGGCATTCGCCTGGCTGCTCTGTGTGGCTCTGCATTCGTGTTGTATTGGCATTTGTTGATGTTGGCATGTAATGTTGGTGTTGATGTCAGGATGTAATGTCGATGTTAGCATGTATCGTTGATGTCAGCATGTAATGTTGATGTTAGCGTGTTTGTTGTTGTTAGTGTTAATTGTTGATGTTGTCTGGTAAGGGGTTTTATTGTTCTGTTTTTATATCCAAAAAAATGTAACTCGTACTATTTGTTCTTATTGAAAAATAAACAGATTTTTGTATTTAAAAAAACACAATCGAAAATATATTCTCACATTAAAGGAATCGTAAACAAGCAAAACAAGCCGTTTAATAACATTAACGTTCACTGTCTGTTGTAGGTAGGCACACTTGGATGATAATAAAAAAGACCATTTCAAATTTACGACCAAGCAAACCCAATAAATAAAACATTTCATATCGACTTGGAAAATTTTTCAATCAGTTCTTCCAAATTTTTTATTACAAAAAAATATCCAGTCATTGCAGTGCAGTAATAACCAATATCATCTAACCATAGAGCATTTATCTTTATATTTTCATGTTTTTAATAAATTTGTTCACATAAACACCTGAAATCGAGGGATTTTTGAATGTCATTGTGGAACTCTGAAGAGGTTAAACTTGCTAACTAGTTCATAACTAGATCAGCCGTCAAATAAAAATTTATTGAAAGTAACAAACAAAACATGATGACGACCCAACACTGCAGTAACATTAAAATCCGAAGAACTCAAACATTACCGTCGGCAAAATAGCACGCTATGGATTTTGTTTATTGAATTATGGTTGGGCGCCAGATTAGTAATTATTGGCATGGATTGAAAATGATTTAGCAGCCCAATAAAACTTAATAACCAGCAGTGCGAAGATTTACAAGCCAACTTGACATTAAATCCTAACCTCCGATCGTATCTCTCTAAAAATATTTCTTTATGTTTCTCTGTGTGTGTCTTTTTCTTTCTCTCTTTTTCTCTTTCTGTGTGTGTAGATGGGTGTGTAATGTGCATGTACGTACAGTTTGTGTGTGTGGAAGTAGGTTTGGGTTTGTTGGTGTGTCTGTCATGCCATGTTGTTCATTACTCACCAAAATCATCAAAAAAAAAATTCAATAAACAAAGTAATAACGTGCCTAAGTTTTTGCGTAAATGATACTTCGCCTGTCTGCGTGTGTATGTGTGCGTATGTGCCTACCTGCGTGTGTGTGTGTGTGTGTGTGCGTGCAAGCATTGTCAAACGTAAATATACATAAGTTAGCACGTGTGTGTATGCATGACATGTATGTCTGAAATGAGTAAATAAAGGTAATTTTGTCACGTAACTTACAATATGCGTGCGCGGTTATTTTCACTAATGTTGGCGTGTGCGCGTGTTAATGCATTACGTGAGTTTTGAAACGCATCAATCAATTGCATCAATGATGAGTCTGAAGAGTAAACTACAGTTCATGTTTTTTCCGTTGGTTCTTTGTGTACTGATACAAACCCTCCCTGAATATTCTGCCGAAACCAACTAAGAGACCGATAGATTAGTAGAAGGAAGTGCAAGCTGGCAATGTACGTTTTTAACATGCACGTGATGACAAATCTAAATATCTCATACGCTATGATGAGCTTGCAGTTAACATGGAGACAACAGTGTTTATGATGAACCGAGCTTCTGCTAAATTACCTAGATTGTGTGTGCTACACAACATGCGTGTGTGTAAGTTTGTGTGTGTGTGTGTAAGTGCGTGTGTGTGTGGTGTGTGTGTAGTTGTTATAAAGTACCGCTACATTTTTAAATTGTACCCCAAAAAAGTTGTCACACAGTTGAAGTTGTTTGATGTCTGCTTCTGTGTGTCATTGTGTGTCTATCCAATGCCTGTGTATGCCTGTGTGTGTTTTTTTTGCATTTTAAACGGTTGTAATTAATAACGTTTGCTATTGCAACAAATTCACTTCTCATTTCATTTCATTTTTATGTTATTTAAAAGTGGCAAATAATAAGCATGTAACAAAATTATTTTTAAATTGGGATGAAACCTGCTTATAAAGAACGCAATTAAACGAGGCATGTCTAATACAAACACACACACACACAACACACGCATGTCTAATACACACACACACACACACGTACTAAACAAAAAACTGGATTGAAAGTACGCAAACGCAAAGTGTACAAATGATACATGCGTATCGTGTAGGTCGTAATCTATGTACACATGTTGGCACATACCCGTGTCAGCGGCCATACAACTTATGACGCACTTATATTAATAATGCTCTGGACGTGATGCTATGTGCAATTTGTCTGTTTGTTTTATTTTGTCTGTCTTTGTGTGTGTGTGTGTGTGTGTGTGTGCGTGCGTGCGTGTGTGGTGTGTGTTTGTGTCGTTTTGCCAATGAATCAAAAATTTTTGTTATATCATGTCATTAAATGGTAAGTGTTAAATAATATAGAAATTATTCAACCAAATTTGTTCAATGCTTTGAAATCTGTCTAAAGTAAAAAGTAATGTAAAAAGTTTTTAAAATTTAAAATAAAAAATTATTTGAAATGCAGTTTGCAACGGATGTTACGAAATAGGCAATGTGATAAAAATGTTATAACTCAGATGGCACCGTCTCATCAATCGAAGTGATGAAGCACTACAAAAAAATTATTCAAATATTCGAACGCAGTACCCACATCTGCATCCACTGCATAACATATACGAAATATTTGCGAAATCTCTGGTAAACTGCAACAGTTGTAGTAACGTTTTATTAGTTTGGCAGTAATATTTGCAGCACACAGCAAACAATTAACTTGTAGCAGTAGAAGTAAAATGACAACACCTACCTACAACCTACTACCTAGTTACTCATGGTGCTACCAAATTTCCTTTGCTACTAGTCTAGTATTTCTGCTAGTAGTAATGACAGTTGTTCGTCTGCAATTGTTTATGTATGTAATCTTTATTGATGATCTGTGTGGCGAAGAGCACATGTGGCTGCTGGCCATTTGTTACCCTGCTGACATGATCACATTCAATTTATCTGCTTCTTTTAATTAAAAACAAACACATAAATGATTAGTTTTTTTTCTCCATTCGCCGGTTTTGTCTGCCTGCCTTTTTCAACTTTGTTTTTTGTTTGATTAATTAATTTGATGTTTTTAATGTTATAGTTTTTTTTTCATTAATTTTTAGTCAGCCAGTACAATTTAAAATATGAAGAACAAAAAGATTTTTGAAAATTTTATTGTAGTTTAGAATTTAAAGTCCACAACTTTAACTATTCAATATCCTATCAACTATAGATTTAATTCTACGTATATTTGTATTGTATTTGTAATGTATTTGTATTTGTTTTGTTTATATTTCATATAAAAATAAACGTCAAATGTATTAAAAATAAAACTTCAAAAACCTTGAAACGAATAAACTTCAATTTGCAGACATCGATGACGTTGAAGATAACGTCACTCATCTGGCTTGTAGGCAGATGACAAACGTTGAATCATTAAGCCATTTCATCACATCACATCACCATGTAACATCACCGTATCACTTACACCACCTTACTTCACCACATTCTATCGTTTCCATACCACCATAAATCCCATCCAGTTGTTTTTCCTGTCTAACAAGCGAACATGCATGCATGTGGTGTATTGCCCATAATCTCTGTCTACCTGCCAACAGGACTGGGTGTCTCAACGATGTCACTCGCACCTCACACAAAACGGTTAGTGCAATTCAAATACAAATAAATACCGCAAAAAATACAATACAAAGACAGTATAATACAATACAAATACATTACAAATACAATACAAATACAAAGGTACAATTATGAAACAAAACAATTTTAAATTTGAATACAAACTTCGTTTTCTTTTAAATGGAATTTAGAGGTATTTGCTTGAGTTTCTTGCTTAACTTGATTTGTATGTCCATGTGTATACCGTAGTTCTGAACATTCGAAAAATAATTTTTTAAATTATTTTAGTTTTTGATTGGCAAATGAATTACACAGAAGTATACACGTTCATACAAATATTTTAAATCATCTTCTTCAACGTCATCATCGATTGCTATGATTTTACAAGAATATTGACTTAGGCTGACTTCTAAAGATTGAACATTGGATATGATGTTTGGATACGAGTCAGGTTTGCGTTATACCAACGTGCATACATTGCATGCTAAGAAAAATTATTTATTCTAGAATTTATAAAACAAAACAAAATTTACATTCAGTATTTATCTATCTCGTTGAAAGTGTTGTCGGTATATAATTCTTACCTGAAAAACACCTTAATAAATAAATGAACTATAAACTATGCAGACAGCACATACATGTTTCAGATTGTATCAGACTATCAATACACTATTTTGCTGTCAATACATACATCATGCCCAGTCATCATTTGTATTCAGCACAAACACTCCATAAATGTTTGTAGGTTTCCATCATTGTTTACGTTTATGTACGTGTGTATAAACTTCGTGCAGGTGTGATTTGTCTGTGTGTATGTGTTTGTGTGTGTTTGTATGTTTGTGTTTGTTTGTATGTTGGTTTGTTTGGTATGACGTGCGTTTATATCGCTCTTATCGGAAAGGTAACGTGTTCTCTGTGCTGTGAAATGAGATTTTCTTCATTTCATTGTCACAAATTTTTTTTTCACGTTATATTTTCAATTTCATTCTTTTCATGTTTCCCATGAGATTTGGAAAGAAAAAACTTCCATCTTCAACAATAATAATTTTCATTAAAATTTGATGAGGCTCATATAAGTGGATTTTCATTCTTCATCTGAAGTTGCAATAACTTATTCACGCGGGAGTGAAAATGAACTTTCGCTAACAAGAAAAAAAATTTCATCACACTCTGTTACTGCAAGTGATTTTTAATTTAGCGAGATGTGATGTGATATTTATTGAAAATTAAACCGCTATCTGATTCCTCTAATTTCCAGCTATTAAAGATGTATGCATTGGTTTCCCCCACAACACCTGCTACTCCAGCACACAGCATCATCGTCTTCTGCCACCATTCATTCAACACGTTTCTGGGTTTTTTTACTTTTTCTCGTTTTTTTCCCTACGTTAATGTTTCGTAGTTAATTATAATTAGAAAATTTTTTTATTCTACAAATTGAAATTCGAGAAATATTTTTATCTTAAACTCAGAATCTAATCTTGTACCTGCCTGATCAAACGAGAGTTTTAATACTGTTTCCAGACACTGTTTCTTTGGTCAAAAAACAAAAATTTGCCTTAGCTCACAAAGTTAGATAACTAAATTAACCCATCCCTAGTTAATTATTCAAACGATCAGTTTAACATTATCCAACTAAATTTAGCAAATAAAACAAAATTTATATTGAAAATTACAGGCAGTTGCACATGCATTATTCAGGCTGGCATAGGATGAGAAATGAAAGAAATTAAAACCTTGCAAAGAACATTAAATTGTCCAAATAATTCAGGGATGAAATAGCGTGTGCATGCAGTTGTGTGCTGGAGCATGTCAAATATTCCATATACAAACATAAATTTTATTTCTCAATTTCTTTACTTACATCGCTTTTCGTTACGAGCATGCAAGCACCTGTGTGTTTGTTATGTTTACTGAATAGACGAAATATATATAATATATAATATGTGTGTTTGTGTGTGTGTATTAGGTACGTATGTGTGGGTATTTTTCTTGTTTGCTCGTGTGTTCACTAATTTAAGCCTGCATGTTTTAATGTGCTTGAAAGAAAAAACTTTTTAGTCTAACTTGTTCATTTGTTTGGTCACTTGAAATAATGATTGTCCTGCTTATCGATAAATTTTAAGAGCGGTTATGACATAAATAATGAAGTACAGCAAGAACATATGCTTCATAAATCACAATACTTCAATCCCATAGAGCATGCCATACAGCACACCAACACATGCACAAACATAGAAGGAACCAAGGACACGAACATGGCAGAAAAATGTAGAACTGCAGAGCAGTGGAAAAATTTGTATGGCCCTCTAATGCATATCTCCAGCCAGTCATGCATATAATCATCCATGCTAAAAAGGACGACTTTAATATCAGTCATTATTTCTACATAAAAAATCTTCATTCAACTAAAAATTATACCAAGGAACGTGACTTTCTGCGTGGGTTTGATTAAATTTACTGTTGGACTAGAAAGAAATAAAACACTCAACCGGACGCATGTATACAAAATGTATTAGAAGCATGAACAAATAGCCAATCTGGTTAGAAGTTTTTTCAAAAACTCAAAAAAAAACAGCCAGTCATTCTTTACGCAAACAAAAAATAAACCGGTGCAACGCTTAGAAACATCAGCAATTCGAATGACGTACTCACAAACAAACGAATGAGCGGGCATCTGAAGAGAAAGTTCTGAACTCCTAGAGGCATAAACAATTTATTTGTACTTCTGCCGAACAAGGCAATAACATAAAAGATATTTTATTTCAACTTGAACGGGGTAGGTACGATGTACAGCGACCCTCCCACGAAACATTTGATGACGTCAATAAATATTTACATTACGTAGACAATATAAATATGAAATATAAATAAATATGTACGTAAATAAATAAATAAAATGTATAGCATCTATTTAAACATGTTGACATGGCGACAAAGTCTGTCAAATTACTGAACCATTAATGAGATGTTTAATTAAAAGGCGTTATATAAATTTTCATAATGATACAAATAATCATTATGATCTGTTTTATAAATTCTTTTGAGTTTCAAAAAACTGATATGATAACAAACAACCAATGGCATAAAACAATCTCGACAAATTTATAATACAAATAATACTTTTAAACATTTTTCATTGTCAATGACACATAGTCAACTAACCAAAAGGCCACGCTTTGATAAACACGTAAATTATATTTGTTTATGCGAATATAAAAATGTAATAAATTTTCAGAGATTTATAACATTCATAAAAATATTTTTACATATAGAAGAAACATATAGAAGAACAAACATGTATGAACATCCGCATCGCTAGCATGGATAACTAATTTATCTAGTTGTATGCATAATTTTTACTTATGAACTTGATACAGTAATTGACTTGCTAGGTAGAAATTTATTTATTTAGCAATGAGGTATAGAGGTTCAGTGCAGAGAAAGAAATACTTCCAGGAAAAAGTATTTTTTTATTTTGCCAATGGCTTCTTGAAAAAACAATTTTATTTTTTCTCACCATTTTTTTCTAATTTATTTTTTTATGTTTTTTATTTTTTCATTAACATTTTTTTTAGCATCTACATCAAAAACTCTATTTATTTGTCTAGGTGTATATATCTACCGTCCTTTCATTCATTCGTTCGTTCGTTCGTTCGTTCGTTCGTCGTTCGTTCGTTCGTGTATATATCTACCGTCCTTTCATTCATTCATTCGTTCGTTCGTCGTTCGTTCGTTCATTCATTCATTCATTCATTCATTTATCTATCAATCAATCTACCTATCTATTTATCTGTTTTTTCTTATCCATAAATCTTTTTTTTCTATTTTTCTGTATCTATTGTTCTATTTCTGTTTTTCATTTTTTTCTCCTATACGCCAACATCAATCGTTCTCTCTCTTTTTCTCAATCTCTCACATTAACAAGCCTGCCCTCAATTTTATCGCACTCTCTCTCCTTCACGCTTCACGAACATCGGACACAGTAATGAAAAGGTTCCCCGGAGGTTTTGCACATAAAACAAGATGTCCCTTCATCATTCCTTCATTCTATCATTCTTTTATTTGTGTATATTTTTTCATTTTCTTCTTTATACCACAATTCTTTTATTCCATCAGCTGTGTTTTCAGCTTTCTCTATTAGATTTTTATTATTTTTTTCATCTTGTCATTTTTTTCGTCAATTTGTCCACTTCAGGATACTTTCACGCTGATATAATTTTTTCTTCGTTTTTCCAAACATTAGCAAACTCTGAAATGATCAAAAATGGCTATTTTCATCAGCCCATTTTAAATTTAATTATCATTATTATGTTAGTTACTTTGGGAATTGAGAACCAATGGAACTCTTACACTAACGCATGTACGCACGCTTCACATAGATGTTGGTTGTTATATCTTAACATTTTACAAGTTAGTCTCTATGCGTTGGATTCACAATCTTCTGAGGTACAAAAAACACACACACGGAATACTCTTTAACACACATACACATAGATTTTTGGTATTTCTCAGTCATATATATGTGTAATTTAGAATAAAAAATTTTACTTTTATTAGCATTTTGTTCGTAAGCTTTGACCTCCATAACTATTTCCTGTTTTTATTATTCAATATTGCTTCATTTTTAACCTCACTTAATTCTTTTAATTGGAGTTTTGTGATGAGTGATTTGAACAATGTGAATATAAACATTCTATACAGCGAGTTTATTTGATTTGCAAAAATTCATTCAGAAATTTGGCATTTAGGAATATGTATTAAAAATTATTTCTGCTAGAAGTGAAAAAAATTTAAGTGGCCAGTTTTTGTTTGCTAAATTATTCACTTTGTTATTTTTTTCTTGAAAATTTTTAATAAAAGTTGCTAAAATACTTTCATTTGCTAAAACTAAGTTTGGCAAGCATTGCAAACTTTTTCCAACAACTTCACTTGGCGTCAGTTGGCTGTAAATTATTGCTGAACACTTGCAATTTAACATTTGATGGTCAACAATTGGGCTCCAATATTGTTTGTTCCTCTTTTTGTTTTTCAACATACAGTTAACGTTCATCAAGAAGCATTTGCTGTTCAACCGTCTACGTTAATTGCTTGTTGTTAACATTCCTGCTAACTTTTCCCATGAAGAGTTTCAACATTTTGTGAACATTTGCTGCTCGACTGTTCGTTCACAGAACTGGTTCGTCCACAGAACTGGCTCGTCCACTCGTATCATTCAATGTTAGCCACTGTTTGGACGGTGTCACAGTTCAATATTTGTTTCTCAATGTGTTATTGACAATATGTGTGACTGTATTCTTTAATAAATGATTCCAAAGCTAACGGGACTAGGTAGGCATCTAGCAAGGATTGCTATTTAACTCTACACGATCAACATCCTCACATCAAGAATTTCTTCTCCAGAATGGAATTAAAAGATTAATTGAACGTTGGACCTCACCTTAAATTTGACATTTATTGTCTAAATCAAATTGTATGGACAGCCACTAATTGCAGGTTGCTGCGTTTAAGCGCTCTACCCTTCTATGCTAATATTCTTTCTTTACGGCTTTTTCATCGCTACATAGTTGAGTAGAATATTAAAAGTAAAATAATTACTTTACAATCTGAAGTCTCTCTTGAATTATTTATTACACCTAATCACATTTTATGATTGCACCAACATTCATAGCATCGTAGTTCGTACAATACACACACACGCACGCACACACAAGCACATACACGCACACAAACACACATACACACACGCGCACACGCACAAGGATTACGTAAACACGTCCGCGAAATAACGCAACTGCATCTGATTTTTATCAGTTAAGATGTAAAATTGTTTCTTTTTTGAATTATGCTTTGGCAAATTTATACGTATGAAAATCAAATGTTACTCGCGTTCATATACGCTGACTCATAAATTCATAATTTTTATATCATACGTATATACAATATACGTATATATATATATATATCATTGCGTGTATGTAAAAATACATATCCATGTGTGCGTGCGTGTATGCCTGTAGCGTATGTGTAACAACAAATTCAAACACGTCTTAAAAACAAATTTACAAGCTCAGATTCTAATGCGGAAATGCTCGCTGCAAATACAATAATGAAAAATCAAACGAAACGCTCCTAAAAACAGAAAATCAGACACGAAAGACACACAGTCAAACATGTCTAAAAAATGAACAACCAGACAAGACACATTCACTTACTCACACACAAACGCACGCACACACACACACACACTTGACAGCTCTCTCTTACTTGCATGCATGGATATAAAAGCGAATGAATGCCAGGATTATGGCGACGTTTACGATGATAACATTGATTTTTAGGGCACTCAATCTAATTAGGGCTTCTCAGAATCCCACTATAATAAATTAATCCCATCCTGTTTGATCCCATTAGAAACGCACGTGGGACACTGTTGAATTGTCTTACAGTGCACGAGACTTTAAATACTATGTAGATGTTTTTTTTAGCTTTTAACCCATCTGTGAGGAATTTTTTCCTCTATTTTTTGCAGAGACATAAAAATAAAACATCATCATCGCAAATGAAAACACTATTATTCAGATGAACGAAAAGAACTTACTATCCAAGTGTCCTTACGTTAAACTTCTCAACTCCAACAACGTCAACATGGAAGACGTGATGGGTGGCGCTGACATCCACAGTCACAAAATCCACATCGCTAACGACATCAGCGATACCAAGAAAGCCATCAACAACATCAGCGTTGGCAGCGTTCCAAATTTTGTCTCGGCAGCAATTAACGCAGCTTCTCGAACGAACCACGTGTTAGTTCTGGCGGGAATGAACTTCCAAGCGAGATTTCAAATCATAAATCACCAGGTTGTTCGTAATAACTACGTTGTAAATTGTGTTAACAGAGTTTTCTTTTGACTTACGTTGTAAAACTGTTTTTGATACTTTTAAAATGTTTATTGATGCTGTTGATGTTAGCTCTATGATGTTTGGTAATGTTTATAATGCAGCCCATCATTAAAACCGCTGCCAGTGTTTTTATGCGTCAAAAAAAATTTATTGAAATCGTCGAAATTTTTTTTGAAGTGGTGAGTGGTGACGGGGCAATGGCAGACATTGTCCCCAACGTGTTTCACCAATTATATCATCAAAATCGTCACCTGTGACGTCATCAAATTGCTATCGATGACGTCAGAGATTTATGACGTGCGTCAATTTACTTCGTAACTGACGTAATTTGCGCTTCGACGCAGTTGTTGACGTTGATTACGTTCGAATTTATGTGGCCACCGTAATGTATTTATTGTCGTTGTCGTTTCCGATTTTACTTACGTTTTTGTTTACCCTG